ACGTTTTTGACTGGGTCAAATGCTTTATTGGCCTCCAAATCACTATCAGCATGAAAGAATAAAAAATTGGCAAAGAAATAGGAGTTCTAGAGCCCAAAATTTGGACCCCCAATTGGTGTCAAAAACGCGAATTAAATAGGCAATAATTTGACCAAAACCCATAATCATGGGTAGAGTGTACCGCTGCCAGTGTCTCTCTTTTCGAAACAAAAGGAAATGATATTAATTTGAGGAACCGTCCGCTAATGCAAATTGATACCGAGAATGAAATCGGTCGCTCGCTTTTCCCATTCATTCACGGCTTACGAATTGTAATAAAGCTTATTAAATGGGAAAAGCGAGCGACCGATTTCATTCTCGGTATCAATTTGCATTAGCGGACGGTTCCTCAAATTAATATCATTTCCTTTTGTTTCGAAAAGAGAGACACTGGCAGCGGTACACTCTACCCATGATTATGGGTTTTGGTCAAATATCATCTCTTTTTGATTATAATGTCAGGATAATTTACACAGTCGAAACTTCATTAACAAGGAGGTAATTTCGACGATTTCGAAATTCTGCCTTTGAAAACGTTTCCTTGTGTTTAGGTAGGTATATCTGTCGATAGCCGACTGAATATGGCACTTTTTACTCATTCAAGTTGGCATTAAATTCATATATAATGCCATTTAAATATCGTGGAAAGCAGAATATATTCGAAATCACGAATGAGCAAAATTCTCACCTTTCGCACGTGCAAACTTTGAGCGGACGTTGCGTGCGCATATAATATTGAATCACCGTAAATTTTTGCATAGTGGTATTTAATATATAAATTTGATAAGCATGCAAAGTTTCAGAAGATTTCAAAAAGAACTTGGATCACAACGGGACTCCAAAGTTGATAAAAATCGTGAAAATCAAAATTTTTAGTGATTTTAGCTATTTTAAATCAATTTGGGCGTGTCCCAACGTGTGCAACTTTTCGATTTTCAACTTTAAAACTAGCCTATAACACAATTTACACCTTTAAGAAGCAAAATTGAGCTCCACAACCCAAGGGATGGCCCAACACCAGAGAATACTAATTCACAACTTTTGTGTTTTTATAAAATTATTCTTCAAAAAAGCACTAACTTCAATAGCAAATATCTTTATGAAGGAGCAAGGTAGGAAACTTTTCCGGTAGATTTTCGGAATGCTTGAACAATTATCTAAGATGATAATTTCCTCAGATTTTGAATAAAATTACTCCTTAATGGTGTAAAATCGATTTGGACCCCCAATTGGTGTCAAAAACGCGAATTAAATAGGCAATAATTTGACCAAAACCCATAATCATGGGTAGAGTGTACCGCTGCCAGTGTCTCTCTTTTCGAAACAAAAGGAAATGATATTAATTTGAGGAACCGTCCGCTAATGCAAATTGATACCGAGAATGAAATCGGTCGCTCGCTTTTCCCATTCATTCACGGCTTACGAATTGTAATAAAGCTTATTAAATGGGAAAAGCGAGCGACCGATTTCATTCTCGGTATCAATTTGCATTAGCGGACGGTTCCTCAAATTAATATCATTTCCTTTTGTTTCGAAAAGAGAGACACTGGCAGCGGTACACTCTACCCATGATTATGGGTTTTGGTCAAATATCATCTCTTTTTGATTATAATGTCAGGATAATTTACACAGTCGAAACTTCATTAACAAGGAGGTAATTTCGACGATTTCGAAATTCTGCCTTTGAAAACGTTTCCTTGTGTTTAGGTAGGTATATCTGTCGATAGCCGACTGAATATGGCACTTTTTACTCATTCAAGTTGGCATTAAATTCATATATAATGCCATTTAAATATCGTGGAAAGCAGAATATATTCGAAATCACGAATGAGCAAAATTCTCACCTTTCGCACGTGCAAACTTTGAGCGGACGTTGCGTGCGCATACAATATTGAATCACCGTAAATTTTTGCATAGTGGTATTTAATATATAAATTTGATAAGCATGCAAAGTTTCAGAAGATTTCAAAAAGAACTTGGATCACAACGGGACTCCAAAGTTGATAAAAATCGTGAAAATCAAAATTTTTAGTGATTTTAGCTATTTTAAATCAATTTGGGCGTGTCCCAACGTGTGCAACTTTTCGATTTTCAACTTTAAAACTAGCCTATAACACAATTTACACCTTTAAGAAGCAAAATTGAGCTCCACAACCCAAGGGATGGCCCAACACCAGAGAATACTAATTCACAACTTTTGTGTTTTTATAAAATTATTCTTCAAAAAAGCACTAACTTCAATAGCAAATATCTTTATGAAGGAGCAAGGTAGGAAACTTTTCCGGTAGATTTTCGGAATGCTTGAACAATTATCTAAGATGATAATTTCCTCAGATTTTGAATAAAATTACTCCTTAATGGTGTAAAATCGATTTGAAAAGTTGTTACTTTGTCAAAAATCAAGTTTTAAAAAGACTTAATTTGATGACGTCATCAAGTGATGATGATGACGTTAAATTATTTTTCAATACAATGTAAACTAAAGCTTAAACGATTACCTTTAAAACCTGTGGTTCGAGATGACTGTATCGTTTATACTTTCGAATCTACGGACACTTAAATGTAGGCTACAATTGACTGCCAAAGCGTCTATACATACATACATATATATATATACTTCACGACAATCTGTTGTAAAACAGGGGTTCCAGAAACCCACTTCCCGATACTCCTGAAACATGAAATTTTGTTTACAGTCGATTTGGACAAGGTCTAGACGCCCTGCAAAGTTTTAGATCTCTAACTCAATTTTATCATGGTTTTTAAGGCACCTGAATATGGCGATTTTGGGTTTTTAACCTAATTTCGTATAACATGCTGGCGCGTATTTTGCGCAAATTTCTTAAAAACCTCCATATAACTATTTTTTATTTCTGCCATCTTTAACATTGAATTAGAATGTTTTGAACTTAAATATACCTGCTGAACTACTTTCGATGAGTCTTAATGCCTGGAAAACAATAAAGGGGATACAATAGTATAGGGGGTAAATAGTATTGTGAATATAAGGGCGACGGTAATGCTTGCCAGCATTGTGATTATTTTAGTCTTTTGAGTCTTGACACCATTTTAGGGTTATACACTTATATACGGGTTCCTGCTAGTAATTATAATTCGAAAGATTCTTTTTTATGCCTGTACGACCGCCCACTACACGTGCAAATTAAGTAAAAAGCAAAAGATTTGATTTCTTAATTATTACAGTGGAGTTCCCACCTACGAGTGAAAACTGAGAGGTGGCTTACTGGGCCGCGCTCAGCCTCTATTCTCTATTATTCTCTATTATATATATATATATATTAGGGGGTGCACCATAAAAATAAACTTGCTCGGATTTTAAAATTTTTTGTACCATTGTTTTCTAGAGACTGTGAGAATTTTCACAATACTAAATTTGTCATACCTTTTTTGGAAAGATCAGTGAGTTTCGCCTAGGTGCCATATTTGATGGTGCGCGGCTTTTGGAGCAAAATTAGCTGTAAAACTCGCGAAATTTGACCAAATTCGTTGATTTTTGTCGTATTATTTGGATATATCTTCAGTTCCTTGAATGAGATCATTCTGAAAATTGGCGAAGACCTTCCAATAGGGCTTTCACAACTGTCCGAAAAATTTGGTGGATATCGGAGTTGATATAGTGATCAAAATGGAGCAAAATACGCTGCTTTTAGCTGTAACATAATGTCTGATGGTTGGATATGCTTTAAACTTTTCGGACACTTTCCTTGTAAGTCTATGAGTAAGCTTACCAATTTTTGTTGCAATCGGAGGTCGGGAAGGATACTTAATATCTATTTATTTGAAGAAAATTGTGCTGGCCGAAATTAGCGCTAAAAAACCATCCTACAGTCGGCACGCGCGGCTCACTGTCGATGGCGCACTACCTATCTCTATATGTTAATGAACATAATAGCCTGAGGTCCCCAGGTAAAGAGGTGGCGCGCCTGATGATTGATGATAAGGTATGATAATGTCAGCCTTGCGGCGCGGCTGACATTAGCTTTTCATTAGCTTTCATTACGTTTGAATTATCGCATATAATACTCTGCATACACCGCGCCACCTCTCAGTTTTCACTCGAAGGTGGGAATGAACTCCGCTGTTACACTAGTGTACATCGTAATTTTAACACAATAGCTACGTGTAAGACTGATTACGGAGGGAAAGGTCAAAGGAGTTGTAAAAATTGGCCTACAAGTGATTACGTAATAATATGCGAATTTCAATTACTATTACTTAGAAACCTTGCTCAGTTTCAACCGATCGCTAAGCTACTATTTAAAATTAGGACATAGGTGCGTGTTAGTGGGGAGGCAATGGTGCGTGTTAGTGGGGAGGCAATGGTGCGTGTTAGTGGGGAGGCAATGGTGCGTGTTAGTGGGGAGGTAATGGTGCGTGTTAGTGGGGAGGTAATGGTGCGTGTTAGTGGGGAGGCAATGGTGCGTGTTAGTGGGGAGGCAATGGTGCGTGTTAGTGGGGAGGCAATGGTGCGTGTTAGTGGGGAGGTAATGGTGCGTGTTAGTGGGGAGGTAATGGTGCGTGTTAGTGGGGAGGTAATGGTGCGTGTTAGTGGGGAGGCAATGGTGCGTGTTAGTGGGGAGGTAATGGTGCGTGTTAGTGGGGAGGTAATGGTGCGTGTTAGTGGGGAGGTAATGGTGCGTGTTAGTGGGGAGGTAATGGTGCGTGTTAGTGGGGAGGCAATGGTGCGGGTTAGTGGGGAGGTAATGGTGCGTGTTAGTGGGGAGGCAATGGTGCGTGTTAGTGGGGAGGCAATGGTGCGTGTTAGTGGGGAGGCAATGGGTTATGCTTTTGTAATCCTCTCCTCTTGACGATGATGAAATTCTGAAATGTTCGTAAACGTTCGCATGATCTTAAGTTATCCCTTAATTTAGTTCACAATGTGCTGTCATATGATATTCAGCAGCGTAGTGATGCCCCGACAAGACGTTAGAACACACTTTTCATCATGTAACAATATTTCATTTTAACAATACACATATAAAATACTTATGATTATCAATGCACTCAAAAAAGTTCCCAATTGTTATTTATCTGGATCCAGGGATCTGAAACAACTTATCTTGAAGCATAAAATCGTAGTTTTCCTTGCTCAGATGATCGGTAGATCTTTCAAACTATCCCAGTGACACTGGTGAGGAAAATAAGAAAACTCTTGCATGTCTAAAACTGTAGTCCTCCTTTTAAAACGTCCAGGTTAATATTTACAAATAAAACGGTACACTATTTAGGGATATTACTGAATGATTCATTTTGATTGACAGTGTAACTAACAAAAATGTAAACAGACATTGTGCACATAACTCGTATGGCGTAGTGGGAATCGCAGTGGCTTGTCAAAGTTGACTGTTCACATAAATGAACAATTTCAAACACTTTTTAAAAGGCAGTTCAAATTCAATGAAATAATTGGCCACATGTCCGATCTCTACAGGGACAACGTTAACATAATATTAACTAAGACCATAAAACATATCAATAACCTCGAAAATGAAGATATTTAGATTCCCATTTTAACTGTTAAAGCACACTCTAAGACAGCTACAGCAACACCGTTACATTACATTGGAAATAACATTAAATATTCAAGACATAACACAACAGCCAGACCTTTCGGTTGAGATTTCTTTAACAAATAAATTTATATAGGAATAATAGGACCTAATCACTATAATCATGGTTATTAGCCCAATTTTACTTGTATCAATCAGTTACGATCTAAAATGGAATGCAATGTAATGTAAGGATGCTTTTAAAGCGGGATTTAAAAAATCAAGACGCGGAGATAGTTTCAAGGGGCCTGTCTCATAGTTTCGACTTTCGAGTGTAAAAATTAGTAAAAACCATGAAATAATGACAGTCACAGCAACAAGGAACAATAGAATTTATACAGCTAAAATCAATATCATACTATGACACCTTAACAAAACCACTTGCACAGGAAATATGACTGATGTATTGGAAAGTGTCCAGTACTCCACACACGCACACACGCACTGACAATCAGGCATCATTCCCTTTATCTCTGTTATTTGTACACTATTGTGACACAGCACAAGAGGGCACACCGTGACTGGATACGGCAAAGCGTAACCAAGACACGTTCCGTCATAACTCATAATACCGTAATATACACGGCAATACTTGAACAGCACTTCGCGACGGTTATCGTTATGTGTTCTCAGCTGATAGGTCGTCAGGTTGGTAGTGTTTGTCTATTGCCTCCTTGATGTGATTGTTGCTCCCCTGGGGGTCGAGGTCCATGGCCCAGGAGAAGTGCATCATAGCTAGGTGCGAGTTTCCCATCTTGCGGTGTATCTGAAGGGGGGGTCTTGTTAGTACTGCTATCAGGGCCGGGGGGGGGGTCCGGTGGGGGGGGGGGGGGGCAGTGTCTTTGTTCTTAATGTCATTTTCTAGTTTTAGTAATTTAGTTGTTCGAATATTATTCAGGCAACACCAGCGTTTTGTTTAGTGTTCGAAATTTCTGACAAATTCCATTAAAGAAACCGGTAGAACAATACAACATGGTGGACCGTGGAAGTACCATGACGTGTATCAGACCATTATATTTAATTGTGGCAATGATCACTTTTAGCTGGATATTATTATACGAAATCAAGAGATTTTACCGCTGTGGGCCGGGTTCCAAGACCTTATTTATTTAGCTTGATTAATGCTTGTCAGTTTCTTATTATCAAATCTCGCTTGATAATCAGGGGAAGATCGGCATTTCGTAAAATTTAAATGCTCGAAGAAGGATTTCTCAACGCAATATGGTAGTTAGGACCCTTACGAACATAATTAGACTTGTCGCCAATTTTGTATCTCACGGCAACACCACTTTTTGCACTATTGCCACTTTTGCCACTTTTTACAACCTTTCTTGTTTGTTAAATATCTTTAGTTGTGAACATCGTAGAACAAGGACAAAAGAAAATCGCGATTATTTAGGCCAAAAATCGCGGCGCCGCGACAAACTAGGCAAAATCGCGGGGAATTCGCGGAAATTTCCACAATTATTCAAGTGAACAAGTTGTTCTTAGGCACGTGGTTCTGGAACAAGTAGTCCTATGGCATATTATCATTATGGTTATCGGACACAATGAGGTTTAAATCACTTAACATCTTTAATTCTATCGAGTGGTGGCAAAATTTTGCAGCTCAGTGGCTTTTTGTGGGCGACTCAGAGGTGGCGGCATGTTGTCAGCATTGTGGCATCCTCTGTATAAGTTTTTCACTATCACTTTGTTCGTAGAAATGTTTCCTTTACCCTCATGAGATTTTGTCCATATTTTATTCTATAAAGTTGCAATATAGATTAATTGTTCGTATGGTAATGATTTGCTAGTTTATGTGTGTACGGATATTCTTAACAATTGGTCAATGTTCTCATTGTCCCAAATCTCACTTAACAGATTAACTGCTAACTAACCTCATGCCTAACATATTTGACATCAAATACGTATTATGTTATTTCCTCATCTTTGCCTTTCCCTATAGAAATTGTTAGGTAATACGATTGTGGTTGGGCAACTCTTACTCAAACTTTGCAATTGTTAGATGTTACTACCTTACTGGAACGGACATTACTTGGATGCCGCGCTGGAGGCCCTAGTGCATGTACAATTACATACACTAGGGGAAAAAATTGTTTTTGACCTACTTTTTTTGCAGGATGGATTGGAAAAAGTTCCTGGCCACGGAGAAGCGTTACTACAAGCTGTTCCTTCCAATATTTGCAGAAATGTTGTCAGTAATGCTCACCAGTATAATAACTTTGTTCTACAGCGCTCACATAGGAGGGGAGCACATTGTGACGGGAGTGGGTATCGCCACATTGCTGAATATCGGCGTACTCTACGCTTTCGTGCTCGGCTACGGTACTGTGTTTGATAGCTATGTCGGAGCTATCAAGGCTACCTACGGTGACGGTGCTGTTGGAGGACTAGTGGTTAAATGCACCCTTCAAGGATTTATCTTCTACCTTTTGTCGCTGGTCCCTTACCTGTGTTCAGCGTATCTGGTGAGGCTGTTTGGGGAGGATGAAAATGTGCACCAAGTAGCTGACCTATATCTAAAGTTGGAAAGTGTTCGCCCAATACTCCTCTACATGAGAGATCTGCTGATTAAGTACCTGGTCGTACAAGGCTTCCCTTTACTTTCTCTTGTTGTCAGTGTATCAGCTCTACCAGTGCATCTTATTTTAGGATGGTTCTGTGTTGTCTATATGAGATGGGGTCTGTACGGTCTAGCGGCAGCTCAGCTCGTTAACTCTGCACTCTCTGTTTTCATCCTAATACTCATATGTCTCTGGAAGCGCCAGGAATTAAAGTGGGAAACATCTTACAGCTCTCTTTTCTCAGGATGGGGTGAAATGGTGAAGTTTGGGAGCTTTGCAGGATTTAGAATAACCGCCACCTACGGATTATGGATTGCTTCACACATCTGGAGTCAATCTTCTGGAGCTATCACAGCAGAAGCTGTTGTTATCATCGATAAGGTTTGCCTCCCCTTTAACGCCTCCATATTTGCAGGAGGCTACGCCGTTGCCATGCTCACTGGGGAAGCGTTGGGAAGGGCAGACAAAACCAGCTATAAATATTCCATCAAGTTGGCACTAGTAAATTGTTTCCTAGAAAGAGTCCTAGCTACCACGTTATATCTGCTCACCAGTAAACCCTTCGCAGGATTATTCACAGAAGATGAAACAGTTTTAAAGGAAATAGGGAGAGCCAGTCCAGTAGTGGCAGTACTGCTAGCAGTGTCTGCTCTGGACGAGCTGCTGGCTCGAGGTATTCTTAATCCACTGGCAAAACTAGTGTTTGTGGGAGTGGCGTCCACGGTTTCTATCTATACGGTTGGCATCCCCTTGATGGCCAGTTTTATTTTCATATTTAGAGCTAAAGCAAGTACCATCTTCTGGTGTTTTGTTGTCTCCTATGGGGTCCAAAATGTGGCATACTTGGTGCGGATCTATTTCGTCGATATTGAAGAAGAGATCGAATCCTGCCAAGATAGAAGCTCGAACCAACAGCAAAGTTCTCTAATCTCAAGCGATGTTAACAATCCTACTGTTAAAGATCCTGCAGACTACAAATCCATCCGTCAGGTTGATTGATTGGGGAGTTCACCAGAACTCGGCACTCGGCACTAACGCTGCAAACATTTTATTTGCAAATCACAGTGGTCAGTGGATTTATAAAATTGCAGATTAGATAATTATTAGAGTTTAGCCACTGATTAGAGCATTGTATTTTAATTATTCGGGAATGTAATCATACATACAGCAAGCTTTTCAATGTTTTCTTTCTATAATTCGTTATTCATCTTAAACGTGTTTTGAAATGAACATTTTCACAAAAAAATGGGATGAGATATGTGTGAGATATTATATATTATAACAATTACATATTAAAATTTACTTTAATGACATAATGGCTCTGTTTTGTCTAAAAGGGTAAAAATTGGCTTAAAAATTACGTAATAATATGTGAACGACCCCTTATTATTAGCTGTTAGTCCAATCGTGTGCGTGAGTCTAACAAAACACGCTCTACAGTCTACTTTCTAATTCCAGATATTATCGTCAGTTTCAAAAGTGAGTCAGGTCAGACTGTCCACAACACTCAACAGTCTGATAAAAAGCGCTTAATTAGGTAGAATTGCTTGCGGAGAGGTCAGTTAGCGGAGGTCTAATTACACTAAAACTTCTGATTACCTAATTTTCCTTGATTTGGAAATATGAGACATGCTATTGTCCGGGATAAGAGTGCTTATAAACTAGAAGCGAAGGTATTATTGTATTATAAACTAGTACGCAGCTAATAGCTAGCAGTTTGATTTGGTCTACTGAGGGTTAACTATTCTTTATTATGGTTAGGCAGTGTAAGTTGCAATTTAGCTTCTTTATTAGTTAGATTTGTAGCTGCAGAAGAATTATACATTTAAACGGGTATCTATTAATTTTATTAAATTTGGTTGACACAGTTGATTATTTCAGCAGCACTTTTATTTGAGATTTGTGCTTTACGTTGTCAAGATTTGTCAGCATGTGTATTGAGCGACAAGAAATACCTTTAACTATGACTTTGATTGAAGCAGAACCTCAAAACCACGAAACATCAGGCGAGTTTATAACATATTTTCAAAATTCTATCAATAGTAATGGGTTGAGGTTAACTACAAGTGTAACTATGGTTACCATGTGTTACCATGTGTTACCATGTGTTACCATGTGTTACCATGTGTTACCATGTGTTACCATTGTCACTGTCAACGTTACCACAGTAACATCTAGAGCTCGTCTGTAAAATCTGTCCACTCAGATACTGATATATTGGACCTGTGTAGAGAAGTTGCTATAGCAACGGGACAGTTCGCTCACGACTACACGGACGATTCAGAACACTCCAAATCACTTTTTGGTAAGTTAATTCCGACATTCAGAGTTTATTGAGAGTCTTGGTGACGTGTGATGGAAACATATAATAAAGAGGAGACGCTGCACTTCTTGGCAGTATCTTCTTATCAACTTATACTGACTAATCGTCTTCAACTTGTGAACTATCTAAAGACTACACCTCAACAGAAACTTATTTTCAGATTCGTCCAACAAGTTGGAAGAAGCGCTAGACGAGCTCCTGGTCAAGTTCAGTGGGAGTTGAGCTAAATCTAAAGTTACCATGATACCTCTCTACCAGGACTGTGGAAGTAAAAGTATACATATTGTAAGACTAAGCTGTGTAATGATTTTCACCGAGTTAGTTACCATGACAATAAGCTAGTTTTTCAATATTCTGTAATTACACACGATTCATAAGATATCATTCTATTGATGTGAGTGTAGTACTTAATATATTTGATTTATTTCACTAAAAGTGAACCAAATTTTCAAGATTTTGATGGCATTTTTCAACAACCATTCCATTCAATTATTGATTACTAAAAGTGTTTACATACAGTTTATGATTCATTGCTCTCTACTGTTAACATTATTCTTATTCGATAAATTGTTTTTAAACCCGCTTTAAAAAACGCTCTGATTTTACAAGATCTCTTGATTATACACACAGCTACTGGCTTAACAACCCAGTATATTAGGATGCAGATTGCAGCGAAACTATCGGACTACGATAAATGGTGACTTGCCACCTCATGGCAACATTAAAATACATTGATTCTGTTACATCATTTCCTCAATAAATGTATTTAATTGTAGTTGTGAAAATAGTTTTTCTGTCGAGAAGAAGAACTTACCTTCGCTTTAAGGAAGTAGATAAGACTTTCTGTAGGAGTGATCGCTTCTAACTCATCTAACTCCCCCAACGCACTGTCGCACTTTTCCAGACACAATAAAGTGGACGCTTTGTGGAACTTGCACAGTGGGTGCTTTGGGTGCTGCTCGAGCGCTTTAGTTAGCACTTTCAGTGCTTCTTTGTGCTTCTTCATAGCATTCAACACCTGAGATGGTAGTTAAAATTATAGTGGTGTAAGAAAAGAAACCTAAAACGAAACATTTGAAATGTTTCTTCTGAAAATCTAACATAGGGCGTGTCTTGAGGGATTGCTCAGCAACGACTCAAACTAAGATTTGAAATGATACAGTTGTAGTACCAACAAAATAGCCTATCAAAACGATGGTGATGTTTATTTTCATCATAGCTCAAGTTTTGCATGTTTTTAAGGCGAATTGGGGAATTAATGGACATAGGGTTTAACAACTTTATTGAGAAATACACAGTTAAAACACGTACCACAGCTATGTGTGCCATAATGGCTGCGTTACTTTGGTTTATACTCTGAGCTTTCCGGAAATGGCAGAGCGCTAATTCGTGCTTCTCTTGTTTGAAGTATATCTGTCCTATACCGTACCTGAACAGAGGTTTGGGTTAAAGAGAAATTGACTTGATACTTTCATATAGGATCTCTCTAAAATTTATGAAGGATGTTAATAACGAACAGCTTATTTGTGTAGTACAAGCAGGTACTATCGCTGTAAAGATTGAAGAATAACGGAACTGCGATGTGGTTATAATTAAACTAACCAAGCGTTGTAATGGCGGGGGTCTATTCTAACAGCATGTCTAAAACAGTTCATAGCGTCATCCAGCTCGTCTATAAAGCTGTACTCGTGACCAAGTAAAGTGTAGCCGTAAGCAAACTCTGGATCGACCAGGACTGATCTCTCGAAGAATTTTATAGCTGTCTCATGCTCTTTTTGGAGGGAGAAACAGTTGCCAACTGCGCACCACGTCTGAAAATAGCAGCACAATTAGTTGGGGTAGTTATTTGTTAAGCGAAACAAGGTCATTTTAATTGACGTCTGGAAATAGAAACAGTGCTCGCACTATATAGTGCATGCATTTCAAATTTAGATTTATTAATCGTTCGTTCAAGTGAGCCGCGCAAGTACACAATACTCTATGCAAATTTCTTTTAACTAAGGTATCCAATTTTAAGAAGACCCTTTTTTACGCGCGGATTGGCACACAAAACGCGCAATAACTCGTGATCACTTCTAAACAAACCTCTGGAGAATTCTTGTTGGCCTCGAGCATCTCATTGGCCAGTGCGGATAGTTCTACTTCGCGTTGCGTGTACCACAGGCAGGTACCGTAGAATGTAAGATCAGAGCAGCGGGATGATTCGTTCTGATGAACTGACTGGTATATTCTAGCTGCCTGGAATGTTTTGCTACTTTGTAAATCATGTTGCTATGTAAACTATGCTGCCAGGTAAACTATGTAACTTATATAAACAAAGCGTTGGCTTATTAAACAATGATCAAAACATGATAGCACTAAATAGCCGCTTATTATTACCTGGTTATACTCTGTCATTTCGTAAAGCGCTCTAGCACACTGACTCAACACCCAGCCGGACGAGTAGTGGTTTTTAGGGAGTTTGTTGAACAACTGGAGCGCTTTCTTACACTCATACTGGCAGATGGACTGATATGCTTGTCCTAGCTGAGAAAACAGACTCATGATACTGCTAATGATCATGTTTGGGTTCCTTTTACTTAATATTGACTTGTCTTTGGTGCTTGACTTCTTGAACGCATCTCCGATAATACTGGGACCGGTTCTTTGAGCTTTATTTCCAGCTTTCTGAAAATTCAAGCAATTAACAACATTTCAAGGTTCAATGTTTTCTAATTACGTTTCGATAATTTATAACAAAGTTACAGTTTAGGGCTCATAATTAGGGTTTGATTTTGGCGTGTGGAGCAGTTAACTAGTTACAACCAACTGATAACTTTTTAGATAATTAATGTAAAATTTAATAAAGTAAATTCAGTATTCACCCTATCATTCTCCTTTGACTTCATATTTCTCTGAAAAATTGTTTAGTTAGGGAAAAGAGATCCACAGGAGTAATATTCATTCTTCCAACTTTCGTTTCCTACATTATTGCTAGCAAACAGATACTCAAAATTAACTTCCCAGTTTCTTTTCCCTTGTGTGAGATGTGTATTATATATTATGTGCATAATATGTGTATTATATGTGTATAATATGTGTATTATATGTGTATAATATGTGTATTATATAACTCATCAACCCATCAACTCATCAAGTAGTTAGTAATTATTGAAACACAACACGGCGGTATCCAAAACTGCAAGATACAAATATCCTTCAGTTCCTTCCACCCCCCCCTCCCCCTTCTCTTCTAAAAGTTACTTATGAGTATCCTCTATTCTACTAAAGGTGCAGCACTCCCTTGGCCTTCCATTAACTTAGAAGTCCCGATTATCTAGAATATTCTTTAGAATCTGAGGACTATAATAATAACTCACCCCACTAGTCATTAAACGGGAACTTCTCCTGACCTTGCTGCTACAGAATGGATCACCCTGAAAAGTATAATGTTAAAACATTATTAATATTATATGAATATGTTTTATGATAATATATAGATAAAATTGAGACAGATTTCAGAAACATGATTCCAGCTATTAATTTTTCTTTGCCTTTTTGCAACAAACTAAGAAAACAGAAAATTAAGGAATGTTGCAGAAAATGTCCTGAATTTATTGCCTCTTTTTTGTATACTCTATGTCCACAAATTTGATGACTTCTCTATTTCAAAAACCTTGTAGTCCTTTCTATCATAAAACATATTTTTGGGCGAAAGTGTGGTCTAGGAGAGAGATAAGGTAACTGTTCGAAAAATAAAGCAACGGGTGAAATTTCAATGAATGAGAGAAGATAGCTTAAAAATTGAAGCAATGATATCACATAAACTTCGCACATCGATTTCCATTGGAATAGGAGTGCATAGTTCATTGTCATCAGTGTTTTGGCAAGAGAAAGAGATCGATTTGGCTATTCTTTCCAAAACTGTTTTAGAGTCATCATGATTACAATCCTCGAGGGTGTAATTGTTAGATATGAATTTATTCAGGAAAGCAAGTTTTTTTCATTGCCCGTTTCAATGTGATTTTTGACTTAATTTCTAGTCCGCTCGTGAGTGGTGAAGTACAATGATCTTTCACTATGGCCTAAATGACATCAAATTGCAAAGAACTGAATGATAAAACTATAAAATAGTGAAACTAGGGAAAGTTGTATATGAATTTCCTGAATTCGTTGCCTTTTAAGGACGATTGTTTTTCTAAATATGACTATGAACTTTATTGGTTGCAATAGACAATAATTTTTCATTCAACAGGGAGGATACATGAAGATAAACCATTACAATGCCAAATAATTAGAACACACCTGTTTTCTAAGAGCCGAGCCAGGGGTCGTACAAGGGTTATCGTCTTCAACCACTCTGTAAGTAAAACACGCGGGTTATTTTGGGGATATTGTAACCGGTCGCTCCGTTTTTAATTTGTATCACAGAGCCATGAAAAATACTTCTATAATCAGATTCAGTATAAATAAGCCCTCCCCAGTTCCAAATGGAATGCCAAAAGTAAATAGTAGAATGTAAAGTTCTAATAAATCTCACTACTATACTGGGACATTCTACGCGATATTGGACTAAATAAAGGCTAAATGTAAACGAAAACATTACTCTGACGTTTAAGATAGGTGGACTTATCAATTCCGAGGAAAGCAGGAAATTCCAAGATCTGCAGTAAACGGTACGAAAGTAGAGAAGCAATTAGGGGGAGTAATGTTTGAAATGTATTATATAGTAGGTAGTATAACTACCTGTCTCTGTGATTGGAGAGGTGGTCCCTTATCTGATCGGGGGTACAGTGTACTGAACTGGGAATCTGAAACACAACATATGTTATACTTGAAAGGGAGAGAAGAGTTAAGACATGTGGAATGTTATCTCGTCCCATTGAAGCTACAATCTACGATTAGGGCGACGAGTTTATTAGACATGTACATGTGGAATGTTATCTCGTCCCATTGAAGCTACAATCTAAGATTAGGGTGACGAGTTTGTTTACATATCCCTCATATTATCCATTACTGATTACTCACAAGCCAGCAACTACAATAGTTCACATAGAAACTGTATCTTTCAAATTGAGCAGCTACAAGGGTTAGAGAGGTCTACTAATGACCCCCCCCCCCCCCCACACTCTGTACAGACCCCCCCCCCCCCCCCTGTTGAGATACATGTTGAGTACTCTAGAAGATCACCAAGAAGTAACGGTGCGGTAGAAAGTATAAGTTGCAACTAGCTGGTTGATACATACTTATTACTTGTAATAAGAATGTCTTTTAAAGTAACAATCATTTCTACCACCATCTTAGTAAGTACAACTAGCTATTTCACTTTTTCACTTTTTCACTAGTGATATTTTTATAAGGATACACCGAAAATATACCAGGTAGCTATTTGTGAAGGTGTGGTTATTTGTTAAAAGGGTTAAACAAGGCCACCATTTACCTGTTCATATTGGTTATCAAGATCACGTGGTAGGTCAAGTTGTACCACGTGACTCTCCCACCTGTAACCATGGTAACACCACGTGACACGCTACATCTTACGTTATTTGTATATCAGAAGGAGTGCTGCATTCCAGGCAATAGTTGAGCCGTTTCCTCCAGGAAAAAGTCACGTGGAGCCTAGCGACCAATGAGCTGGGTAGGATAACCCCACGTGACGTTGCCATGGAGACACGTGGTAGAGGTATAATGTGGAGGTATTATGTGAGTGTGTGTCTGTATGTATCATGACTGGTCGGTGTGTGTGTAGCCGGCTAATTGCGCACAATTACGTCACACAACTCTCTCGCTTGTGAGCTCAGCTACCTGTGCATTTGTAGTGCAAGCTGAACAAGCATAATGCTATTTCAATACATCTTGCATCATAACTCTTTCTTATCATGTTAAGAAACATTTACGGTTACAAACTGAGAATGTTCTGATGCATACAGCATTTTGTTACATCTCAAAACGGTGGAGGTAACTCAGAAATTCTGTATTTCCGACGAGCACAACAAAATTGGCATATGTTTATTTTAGAGGCTAATGTTATTAATGAAAAATTAGAAGATAAGAATAGAAAAATTCTGTCATATACACTGCTTGACAGTTAAATTTAGAAGTGTTCATTCTGCTGCTAAGTCGGCAGAACAAGATAAATACTACATCCAGGTTGTTCTACGACGAAATTTTCTCTTCCAGGGCCAGATTTATAATCATCTATATCATTTGAACTATTCCAAAATAGGATGGAGTCTATCCCGGAAGCATATGGGAAATGGAGCTGATATTAATGATAACTTATTACGTGCTCAGTATTGAGTTCTGCACTATTATATATATAATGCTCACAATTTAAAGAGAGACGTGATACAGAAGGGGGGTGATGCAACGACCATTAATGACCATTAATGACCATTAATGACCATTCATGACCATTCATGACCATTAATGACAATGTCAGTTTTGCCAAAATTTCAAATACTGACATTAATGGTCATGTTTTTTTCCGCACTTCCTGGAACAAGAAGGACGGACACGAGGACCACTTAGAACCTACCTAAAGTTAACTAACAATAAGTAGACGGTACTTTACGTCTTGGAAGGGGATGAAAAGTTAATTTTACAACTTTCTCAAACACTGATATTACCACATATTACAACTAACCCAATTATACCATAGGTACCGAGCAAAATTTAATTCCGATGAATGTTCTCCCAATCTAAACTTATTATTGAACCATCCTGGGTCTTCACCCAACACTGGGAAGACATATCGTGCTCAATACAGATCGCCACCGCAGGTCTTCTCTCTCCCGATCGAGCATTTCCTTTTCTTTGTGATGTTTTAGATGTCTTAACAGATATAGAAAGCACTTTGCCCTGCACAACCGTGCACCTTCTTTTTTCATCCTTGCCTGTTATGAGTATACCAGTTATTGTTCCACCAACTTGCACCTCTTGAGCGTTGCATAGCTCTGGTTCTGCTAAACCCTTACAGACTGGGCGATACAACCCAATACTTGTATCCAAGGCAAGACCAAAAAATCTTTTCCTTCGGCTTTTCGCACCAAAGTTGGTCTTGCCTTGGTTACAATATTTGGTCACGGCAGACCGATAGTCTATCTCCTTCCCCCGAATTCTGACCTTAGTGGAGCTATCAACCAGCTCTTTGTCCTCATAATCAGAAAAATTGTCTTCACTCTCATGGTCTGATTCATCATCTGATTGTTGTTTACGACCATATGAGAGTGGAAATTGGAGACTCCGCCGTCTTTCAGAAATAACATTTCCATTATCACCTGAAAGATACGAACTTCCATAACTAGAAGAGGAAACAAAGAGTTTCTCTCCGATCTTGGATCCTCTTTTTAAGCTTTGGATAAGGTTACTCATCTTGACCGAACCTCCAAAATCAACAGCAATCTTTTTCTCTGGATGTTTGCTCCACTCAGAACGAAAGAGTGTCTTCCCCCAGGTATGAGCGGTTTTATGAACACTTGTACCACACTTAACATCAAGCGTATTCTCCACCTCTAATAGTCGGTTGTAACGACCCATGGCTTCAGGGACTCTTGTAGAGTCGATTTGTGTGCGTCTACCGGAGTGCCGTCCAACCCTAATTCGAGCGAAGAGTTGTTCATTATGATCAGACGATAAAAACCACGGTACTATTGGTGCTTTGGGGTGATTACAAATCAAGTCGACAAAATACAAGACAAGTCCGTTAGCTGCGGTTATTAAGTCTTTGAAGCTTTCTCTAGTTATGAAGTTCTCGCTGGTATTGAATTTCTTCGAGTGTTCTCCCCACAGAGTGAAGAACGTGAAAACAGTCCACGCATTTTCAGCTCTTTCTGAAACAGTCAGCGATTTGTCATAAAACGCTGCCAGGAGCAAAAACCCGGCCTTAAGATAGGCCGAGAGGCTCAGAAATCCTGCTTGTTTTAGAACATCCCATGTAGCCATTAGCTCTGCAGCACACTGCGGGTTTTGTCTATCAGAGTGCTGCAGAGTTGTAAGGGATACAGAGTCTCCAATCTCCGTGGAGAACAACCATGGATTCCCCCGTCGACTTATGAGCCCCGCATCGACACTTTAACACAGCCATTGGTATCACCTTGCCACATTCCCGGCATTTCCATACCAAACCGAATTTTAGATAGAACATCTCAAAATTATCTGAATTCTGATAAAGATAACCGATAACTTCAGTTTTGAAAGTATAACGTGGAAATTTACACAATTTAAGACAAACACATTTCATCGTAACACCAAATTCTAAAAATTTACTCAGCTATTTAACAACAGTGTAACGGAATGATTTTCACGGCAAGGAGAATCGTAAAACTTCAAAAGTTATTTCTAGGGCCCAAAAAAGCCCCACTTTCTGGGGTCCTTTGGGACTTCAAAAAAGTGATCCGAAAAAAAAGTGATCCGAAAAAATAGGGAACCATACACGTACAAAAAAGTACGAAACATGATTTCTCCCCTCAATTAGTCAAGGCCAGATATTTCAAAATTTGAGATATCTTATGACCATTAATGACCATTAATGACCATTAATGACCATTAATGACCATTAATGACCATTAATGACCATTAATGACCATTAATGACAATGTCAGTTTCGGAAAAATCTCAAATACTGACATTAATGGTCGTTGCATCACCCCCTACAGAAGTAGGCACCCGTATTTATTGATTTGAGAATCAACCATATTATTTTCTTTTGCCATTTCGTGTACTTTTATGCCACTGTGTAGTGTGTGGTTGCCCCGAAAACAGTGAGAAAATAGGAAGTTGATTTTTTGCTATTTCTCTATTTCAAATACATAGTGTTCAGTCTTTGCATTCTTTAACAAACTAAGCCCACGATTTATCAAACTTTAAGAAAGTTCGCCGAGGATTTGGCAAAGGTTTCCTAAAAATTATATTATTAATTACTGTTCAGGTAGTTAAACTAGGAGGCTCCGCGGAGACTACAATTTAATCGTACTTGAAACCCAGATTTATATTTTAATTGGTACAGTTAAATTCAATTACGCATACTACCTACCTGCAACCCATTTTAGGTTCTAAAAAAACTCTCATTTACGGTGACCTTTAGCAGCATTTAGGATTTGCATCTGCCGTGAGTCTCGGGAAATCGAGGTTTGACAGCGTTTCACCCTAGTGCCTACACGATGTTCTAAAATATATCGTTATGTGTAGATTTAGTGGAACTACCATCTTGACTTAACGTTATAATGTGTGTCGGCATATTTGTTGAAGCCCCAAACTTTGACATCTGGAGATATCAACCGTATTAAAATGTAAAGACAAAGGTTTGCTACTGCACATGTCGCTGTCATAGAAGACTTCAAATCTTCGTGGCTGCGACGATTTGATATCATTTCTTCAGAAGTATAAATGATTCCATTTCCATTAGTTCTAGGTCTTTCTACGAAACAAGAACAGTAACATCGTCCTCATATTATTATAATATCTTGGTTTACTACGGCGGAGAAGAGAGACGGGGGCGTTAAACAGGAGTACCAGTACCACGTCATTAAGTCCCTCTAATGAACACGCTCTCTCAACCACTGAGAGGAGTTATAGCGAGACAGAGTTGTCCCACTTTATAATGTATTTTAACTGTTGTGGGATTCAAGCAGATCGGAAAACGGTTGAAGAGAGAGAGAGAGAGAGAGAGAGAGAGAGAGAGAGAGAGAGAGAGAGAGAGAGAGAGAGAGAGAGAGAGAGAGAGAGAGAGAGAGAGAGAGAGAGAGAGAGAGAGAGAGAGAGAGAGAGAGAGAGAGAGAGAGAGAGAGAGAGAGAGAGAGAGAGAGAGAGAGAGAGAGAGAGAGAGAGAGAGAGAGAGAGAGAGAGAGAGAGAGAGAGAGAGAGAGAGAGAGAGAGAGAGAGAGAGAGAGAGAGAGAGAGAGAGAGAGAGAGCGATCTAGAGCTGTCAGAGATGTTTTAAACAGTTTCATATTCAGTTTAGTGCTCAGTATATCTCTCTAGACAGACTGTGACAAGTTGTTTTTTAAACTCTATAGAATCCTTAATAGTATGGCGGGAGATTTCGCTCAGTCCCTGCTAAATGGCAATTAGTGAAAGCTAGAAAGTGAAACTGGAACAAGAGGTGAATTAAATCACTCCTTTGATTTACGTGAAGTAAATTGATATTATATTCCTAATATGGTCTAAACGGTTATAGTTAAATGGTTCTGTCTAGTGAAGTGACGACAAGTGATCTCAAGAGGAGTTACAACGGAGAGTATAGTTGATGTTTTAATTCAAACTTATGAAACGTTTGACGTAAAAACTACTTTGAAATTCGTGTTCCACTTCCAGTAGAAAATTTGAAAAGGAGCCAAAAGAGAGCCGGAAGTTAAACTTGTGAATATGGTTTGATGATTCATTAAATTGATGAAATACAAGTGACAAGTAAGTACCAAATGGGTGTTTACTACTTTATTGGTTAAATGTTCAAGCTAAAGTCGAATGATATTTTATAACATTTGGGAAAAAATCTACAAACAAATGAGTGTTTTTAACATACTTGGTTGTTATTGCCGCTGGAAATGGGTGTAGAGTGTGCTAAAACCTGTCCAAATGTACACTTGGGGGTGTAGTTCTGATAGATCTTCTCCCCAGGATTAACGAGGTTCATGTCGTTTGTGATTTCACTGAGGGCACCAGGGGAAGAGGTTTGGGCTACAAAGGAGGGACAGTTTGTCGTCTTAAAGTAGTCGTCAGGACTGTCCTTTTCTCCTGAGAATTACAATTTAATTAACTGATTAATTTATTTTAAGGGATTAAATATACCAACCACAATATTTAAATTCGAAATATAAAGAGCAGTAAGGATACCCCCATATTTAATATTAGACTAACTGGACAGTCATCACAATATCTAAGACATGGGACAATATTTTACATGAGACTGTTATCTAAAAGCACTTCAAATCATGCAATTGCCCACCTCAACATTCTCTAAATTCCAAATGAATTTTCCAAAATTCTAAATACCTGCTTGACACAAGTTAGCATAACTGGACCAGAGGTAAGGATTTCGCTTCAAACTTGCTCTATAGAAGTAAACAGCATGCTCCAGTCTGTGACATCTCCTGTAAGTATTATTTAATGAGATCATTGCTTAATTAGATATTATCAGTCAGCTAGTTAGCATAGCCACATATTTATCCTCCGATTGGAATTAAGACCAGGTAAATAAGTTTGCAGATAATTCCATTTTGCCGTTTTTTTCAAACTTCCTCAAGCAAGTTTGTACCTGTAAATGGTAGCGAGGGTGCTTAGACAAATGCCTGAAATCTCCTGAAACTCAGCCGTGATACTGTTCTCAATAGCCGCAAGTGTTCCGTCAGTGCTAGTGTTCACCAGGGTCTGTTCACCCTCGGATAACCTGCAATAATGGTCTTTAAAACTTTCTTCAGAAATGGAGATATACTGAAAACAACCAGATTGTAGTGAATTGTGCAAGGGCAATTACTGCATGAAGTAACCTCCATAATGAACTCATAGGGCATGTCCTGCTTATGTCATGTTGGTATAAAATTTGAATTGACATTTTAAAATATTTACTTGTTCAGTTTTACACAACACTGAGCAAACAAAAGCCGGCATTTAGGGGTGGTGCTGTGGGACTTCTTGAGCAGATCATAGGCTTCAGCAACACGTCCCTGTCGGTAATAGCATGTTGCCAAGAGGTATAGCGTCTCACAGCCTTTGTTCTCAAGAAAAAGACGCTCTGCTAAGAAACTGGCATCCTCGAAGGCATAGTAGTTGAGTGCATGCCAAACAGCTGCCTGAAATAATGTTGTATTTGAGCGTCAAGGTTCACAAACAAAATCTTTTAAAATCACAAGTATTGTGCAGTTCCATGACAAATGGAAAATTTAGGAATTGATTCAAATTATGATGTAACAAATAGGAAACCAAATTTACCTTAGCAGGGTCTTTCTCCTTGCAGCACCCCATCACGGTCGTGATATGAAGCGGTACCTTAGCTAACTGTTCTCTTTCAATTACACCAATGATACTTGGGATCCAACAAACAGATAGCAAGCTTTGTTAGAAGTTTCGGAGTAAACGATATATATGTGAGATTCAACTTTTCTGAGCCACTTGTCTGCTTCCCGATGAAAGTCTCTTTTACATAAAATGTACCTAGCTAACATAATTTGGTAAAGCTATTCATTACTTGAAAAAACAATTGGTGAGATATAAATTGATCAACAGCTTAATGATGCAAAAAAATACAAAATCGTCAAGTACATTTGAATAATTCATTAACATTATTAAAATCTTAATTAGAAAAACAAGAATTTCGCCGCGGTTACACCACGCACGATTAATTTTCCCTGCTTAAACCGTTAATATTTGCAACGAAAAGTTAATTTTAACGATTAATAAAAATTAGATATTGGATTATTTTGTTGTTAAAAAGTTGCAATATTTTCATCGTAATTTGTTATTGCGCCCGTGCAGGATTGCGTGTAATCGAATATTTAGTACGCAGCGCACAAATTTTGGGCTAATTTGATTTGAACGGCATCGTTTGACAATTGAAATTCGCGTTGGATAATGCAATTAACTAACACATGCCGAGCGTCGCGCGCAGCATAACATAATTATAGGGGAGTGGTCTATATTGCGAAGGAGCAGACTTTTGTCATCATCGCAGGTCCATCGGGATAGCTCATATATCCAAACCCGATTACTTATTCCCTACGATCTTTTTGCCTTCGGCAAGAGCAGGGAAAAAAATTGCAAAGCTTTGTGTTTTAATTGTGTGATTGTGACCGTATTATAGTCAGTCATTTTGATTGCAAGATGTTTGTTTAGTTGGGTACTAGTGATGAAGTGAAAAATTGTGGTATCTCTGAGGAGTGGGTGAGCGCATGCCCTGCAGGCCTCAAAATAACGTGACGTGGTAGACTGTGAAGTTCAAGTGCATTGCAGCTCTAATTGAACAAGAAATGCGGCCGCTTTTCTTTTGTGGATGGCCGCTCAATTTCCCGATCCGTGATGGAGTATTTGATCATATTCCATACCACCTGGGGACCCCAGTCTTTACTGTTTATAAGCATGCAGATATGGCAGAGTGACATGCCGAGCGCCGCCCAGTTGATATAATTCCATATTGAATTTGAAAATCGTGTATATTTCTATGTAACCATATGTTTATTGTTTATGCAACCTGACATGGATCTGTGCAAAATAGTAATACTAACTCAAAATAATAATAATATGCTATCAATTAGTCCCTAGCGGGATGCGTATATGGTGAAATTAACAATGTACTTGAACATTTCAGCACCGCGCGCCAACAATTGTTTAATTCAGATTTTCGCGCAAAATAACTTTGCGCAGGCAGACACGTGGGCGACACGTACGCAGGCACGCACGGTGGTCGGTCGCACGGTCGCAAAGCTACCATATCCCAAAAAAACCTTGATCGCTAACCCTTGTCCTTGACTCTTTTGTGCCTTCGGCACTTTGAGTCATGGATCGGGAAAAAATAATCCGTGGCTGACAGCTATCAATGGGCTGTGTCCAAGATTTCAAGCATCAGGATACACTGAGACAGTCACTGTCACTCGAAAGGCCTCACAGCTCCTACATGTACACACAACCGGATCGGGAGCCCATGAAGGGGTAAAAGCAACCACAATCTTTCCATCACATCCAGCACAGATTCAAAGCTGGAGAGAGGAGAAGAAGGTGATTATTATTATTATTAAATCTTAAATAGCTAATAATTCAATTAATTATTAACAGGCCCCTTAACGTGGGCAATAACATACGCTTTATAAATTATATAAACAAATTCAAGTCTATATTCCGATTTTGCTAACTGTTTCTTTAGATCTGTTTCGGTCTTTTGTTGGAGTTCCCACATTTGCTGGTTGAGAATGCTCAACATAACATACATGATGCTTGACTGCTTTATTGACCCGGGCAGGCCCCGGGGGCAGACATCCCAACACCAGTGCGTTGGGACATAGTGTTGGTCTGTTTCAGGATGTGTTAGATCCCAGAGACGCCGCCATCTCCTCTACTGCTTTAGCTCAGCGGCAGCATGAGCCCTGGTTTCATGCCACATTGGTACCTCTGAAAGTACAGAAAGGTGGTGGATTTTGGGGTCCAGGATCCTCCCTCTTTATTCTTTAAGGTGTTATCATTTCTCTGAGATGTTTGCAGAGTCTTTGTTTTATAGTCTTTCTAGTTAGCTAAGTCCTAGAGAGATTCGTTTTGTTCCCAAAGAAATTCTACTCTCCTAATGAATGCTTTTGAAGAAGAAAAAGGAAACTAAAACAGGTGAAGAAGAAAAAGGAAACATAAAACAGAGAAGGGAAACTAGTTCTCTTCTTTCAGACTGTCTTTGAAGTTTAGGGTTAGTCTGTAAATCTTGTTTATGGTGCTAGTTACTTGTATTTTTAAGTATTATATATTTTATCATATATCTACCCCTTTCATTTCTAAAATTTGAAAAAAATTTTAAATTTTTAAAAAAAAAGAAAAGGGGGGGACCCCCAACCCATGTAGCTGAGACACGTCACAGCAAGTAGATTAAAGTGGCTCATTTCTAAGATGGTGAGAACTGGACTCAATCTGTATAGTTGCCCAGAATGACCTAGCATTGTTTAGATAGGGCTCACAAGCAAATTTTTAAAAACCTCACTATATAATGATAGCTTTCTAGAATCATTTACAGGAGGTCCCAATTCCCAAGGGATCACGGAATCGATTTTGCAAGTATAATTTAGAAAATACAGCTCTACATTGCAATTGGTATCATCACACTATATAATAAGATAAGATAAGATAAGATAAGATTTAAAATTATGCCTCTCTAGGCATCTCATACAAATATAATTACTTCAAAACTGTACAATTTACGTTTAATAAACTATTAAAATATAAAAATTAAAAGAAGTTAACTGAAAACTTCTTGGCTGATAACTGCCTAAATAAGGCCATTTAAATTGACCTTCTTCCTCTTAGCTATTATTGGATTATCTTTTATATAATTCACATAATTACTCCTATGAGCTACAGTAACATCAATTCTATCAAATATATCATGTGAAAGTTCCCAGTGATGACCAAGCTTATTAGCTCGATATCCACTAAGCCGAAAGGCATCTAATCTACTTTTAAAGCCTGTGACTGATTCACTAGCTTTAACAAGCGGAGGCAGGCTATTCCAGTAGCGTAGTACTCTTTGGGCAAAGAAATCAGTCTCATTTGTGGTGAATCTATGAGTCTTTGATCTAGCAGCAACGGTCCTATCTACATGAAAACATATAGATATTTCCCAACAAATATTAACAGTTTATCGGATACAATTTTATTAAATATTGTCAAATACTTCCCAGATTTGTAAAGCGCTTCTTAAATCAAGTCAAATCAAGAAAACAACAAATTTCAAGAAAACAACAAATTTTTTAATTAAATCAATTATAGCAACAATTTTAAAAACTTTAAAGTTCTTTTATTACCATGGAATATACTACGGGTATGGTGACTTGGGCTATTGAGTTGTTAAGTAGATTAAGATTAGTAAACCTGCACTTGCATTGTATTTATAAAAACTAGAAATTAGGCTTCACGGTAAAATGGAGAAGCAGGCTGATCTTGGAGAGAGCAGACCGTAAAGTTTACGCACCCACCAGGGCTACCTACCTGCCCCAGTTGTTCTTTTTGGTTTATCAGCTTGTATTGTTATATTTATGGACCCCAAGTCACCACACTAAGAAGAAGTATGTAAAAAAATAATAAGTTAAGTTAATATCAACATATCAGTTTAAAACAGTAAAAGTTAAGTTGAGGATTGAATTTCCTAGTTAATTTAATGGTTCAAACGTTTGGGAATTATATAATAATGTTGGTATTTGTATCTGCTGCAGCAATAATATCGATATGTCATTACATTTGTCTAGAAAATCAAAAATATGGACATAAACATCATCACTACTTTTTAATCTAATTTCTTCATTATATAAGAACTGTGAACATTTCACAGCCTTATTTGCTACACAAGGATGAAACAAAAGATAATCACTATGTTTCTTTCTATTTCCACATTTAATTTATTTACTTATTATACTTAGTATTTATTTTTGGTGACTGTATCACCCAGTTTTAACATTTGATAATTGTACATTTTATTGACGACACATTGACTGAATGTTATTTTATATTCTAATTTATATTCTAGATATTTTATTTATTTTTCAACAGACGACAACTTCCTGTTTTTTCTTCTATATTAGTTACTCATATCTCTTCTACAGACTTTTTTACAAGGACATTGACAGATGATACTCACATTAGGCATTCATTATTGCATCTAAATTATTTCACTTGCATTAGGTTTAGAAATTTATTCTCTGGTTAACGGATTTCCAATGTTTAATTAATTTGTAGTATGACAGTAAGGTATATAAGAAGTTATTTAATTTTGCTTGGGCTATTATATTGACTAGGTATTGAGGTTTAATGATGATATGGAATTTGAATTCTATATAAATTTACACTATGTGGTTGGGGCATTTTGCATAGTAAATATGGTTACTACTCCTATATATCATATTATTTGATTGGTATTCGATTTCTGATTATTTCTCTAGGAATATGATTATTATATCTCAATTTGGCTTTAGGTAGGGTGCCCCGCTAAAAGAACTGGATTCTTCCAGGAAGCATCCCGTGCACAGACCTTGGTCTACATATATATTAAATTATTAACCATTCATTCTGTATGTGCACGAAAATTTATTTCAATCAATTTCCAATGTGATAGCTCTAGCTCACTTCAGTTCCAAGAATAATTTTTCTTGATACTTCCAAGAAACAATTATTGTTACTCAATGAATTAAAAATACTCCTTTTTTCAAACTATTAAGAGATTCAAACAATATACACACAATATAACAATGACCCTAGCCCCACGAAAAACCTCACCGAACCTCCACGCGGTGTGGGGTGGGTGGCTCGAACGGGAGGTGCATGGGTGTTTCTAATCTATGCTAAAACATGGGTGATAGTCAAGCCTGAGCACGAAGAGAAGGCAAGAACCCTATTCCCAGATGTCAATGTGACAAGCATTGGTCGACGATATCTGGGCAGCTTCATCGGAACAGACCAAGGAAAAGAGGCTTTCATCGAGGAAAAAGTTCAAGAATGGTGTCGTGAT